CCTACTTCTATAATCAATAAAGACAAAGTTAATAATGCAAGATTATAAGTTTAAACTAATAAAAGATGAACTAAAGTGCCTTCATCAATTTCTTGTATTCGGACCCCCTTTTGTATTTCTGTTCCGCCCTGACCAGCAATACATCCACCTTGGTTATCGCTTCTTTATCATTCGATTCATTTTGAGACACATCATAGCGGACGTTTGATTCTCAAACCTGCATCAAAGGTTATGTCAGGGCATGTGAAATTAAAATTCCATGAACAATATATCTAGTGATGGGTTGCTGTTAACGTAATGTTATTCTGCAAACGGAACAGTACATACATGTATCTCATAATAACAAAAAAAACCATCGATAGTTGAATCAGTTAATCCGAAAACGAAAACAGATATCAAGAAAAACAGTGTAAGAGGTAATCGATTGAGAACAGGAGTGATAATTAAGGAGAACAAATAAATCCGTTGAAAAAATGAAACATTCGCAGTTGTGATTAGCGTTACCAGTTTTGTCGATGTTTCGTTTATGTCTTCAAAGCGCGTCAATAAATGAGTCGAGTGGTCCGATCGTTTCCCCTTTTCTTCTTCACACTGGAATCAGAGGTCTATTCCCTGTCGATCTCCTCTAATGGAAAACAATTTCGTCATATATGAAGAATATCACAGATTTTTGGATCTCAATAGAAACTATCAATTCTAGGGTTTCATGTTTACCTTCAAGATCATTCCATTAAAAATCGGTGGTTCCTGCTTCACTGGAGTAAAATCCGACCACCACCGTCCTCTACCTAAACCGGAACATCGATGTGGTCCATCTCCATCTCCATCACCGGCAAATCACTCCGGTCTCCACCCGATATTCATACGTTTTGCGGTGCAGCGGATGTTTCAAATGAATAGCGGGAGCGGTTCATACCACAACGTCGTCTCTATTATCGTGGTATCCTCTTCTTCTGATTAAGAAACAAAAATTTCAGCATCAGTAGCAGAAATTGAATAGGTTCCAAACAAACAAAAAAAAAAGTAAATCATTAAGAAAGCAAAATACAATTACACCATAATAAGAATGAAAAAAATACACAGAAAACCTGGAATAGAAACCGCACAACCAAGTTTGAGCACAAACCTGAAGGAGACAACAACGAAAGTGTGGAATAGAAGATGCACAACAAAGTGTCTCCGGATGTCAGCAAGTCAGCGATCGGGTAAGAGGATCAGCTGTGGTTCACAATCCAAGATTGAGGGATGAGAAAGGATGAATCGGAATGGTAGGGTAGAAATTAGGTGAAATCATCAATTACCTTTGATAAACGTGAAATTCGTTCAATAATCCGATTACCCCCGCACAAATAGAAACCCATATCCGACCACACTGCTCTTCCTCAACTCATCAGGAAGCTGCTTCTTGTAGGACCGATTGAGTGGGTATCGAAAGCCGATTACCGGATATTTTCATCCAAGTAGATAGAAGTAGATAGATAGAGGAGAGATATGTGGTGGAGCGGTGGGGGAAGATAAGGCGGTGGGAGAAAACCGAGAAGGAGAAAGAGATACATGGAACCATCCAGAAAGCAAGAGAAAGAAAGAGATATTATTAGAGAAGGAAGATAAGGCGGTGGGAGAAAACTGAGAAGATGATAAACGCGTGTCTAAAGAATGTTCATAAATCATAAGTCCATAAAATGCCCAGAAAGTCGAAATTGCAACGAAACCCATAAACAGGGCCATTTTTGCCAACATCTTAGGAACTTTACTGTTCCTAAGATTCATTTCCTTAATATATATATATATATATATATATATATATATATATATATATATATATATATTAATGACACTAATTTATAATGAAAATTGAAAATCTAACATGAGAGAACAGATAAAGGTTTCAGTGTTCTTTCTGTTTTTTAGATCGATACTCAATTAATCTATAGATCCATCTTGAGACAAGTACGATGGATATGATTTTTCAGTAAAGACCTATACTTTTCAATGTTGATTTGAAGAATATACGAGGATACAAAGTGTAAAAAATGACACCCATTTGCATTTTTTTTACAATATTGACATTTTTTTTAGTATTTATGTGTTTTAATGTATCCTGAATAATGGCATATTATATATTTATTTTACAAATTATATGAGTATGCAACAAATAATGTAAATTATCCATATCTGTTGTAAATATGGATAGAACATATAAGCATGCTGTTATAATATGTGAAATATAAAATATATAATGATTATACATAAACAAAATATAAATATATTGCTATTATACATAGAAATATAAATATATTATTGTGATTCAAAATAAAACATAATGTTCAAGATTAAAACACGATGTTAATGTCGACAGCAAGCTATATAATGATTGAGTGAGATCCGTCTTTATATGATGATATCAACAGATGTAAGTAAATGATTGGAGAGTTGTCTTTTTTGAAAAATAGGTTGAGCATGCTTATCGTACCATGTAAATATGTAATGATGTTATTGCATATGATATCAACAGACTTTCTTAGATTTTATATATGATGAGAAGTTTGAAACACTTGAATTAAAAGCAAAAAACAAAAAAAAACATATTTTTGTATATTCGTAGAAAATGTATTTATCCTTAACTTTTTTTAAACGGAAAAACTTTTATCAAAAAGCAAATAAAAAGAGAAGGTAATCAACCAAGCGAATTACTCTTGTAACTTTTGCTTTCATTTACAATCCAAAAATAAGATTGTGTAGCAATGCTATCAAAGATCTCTAATTTCTTATGTTTTGCCTATCCAAATATTTATGTATTCCGATAAGCCCAAATTGCACGTAGAGGCGTAGTGATCACTGCGTCAAAACACTTATGTTGCATCACTGTTAAGGTGTGGTTGATCCGACCAATCATTTCTTCAACCGTGTTATGAATTGCAACCTGGACATTCCACCATCTACATTTTTGGTTCCAAATCGACTCCACAAGCGAACAATTAAGCATAATATGGTTAAAATTTTATACTGAGACCGAACATAGCTACCATAAGTATGAATCCACATATATCCATTTGTCAAGCAAATTAACATTAGTCGGCATCCCCGTTTAAATGCATCCACCATCCTATGACATTAAGCTTAATAGGAATAAAGTTGTTCCATCTCATGACAATATTTCCCGCACCTAACATAGCCTCATCAAGGAAAGCCCTCGCATACAAAACCAAATAACATGTCGATTCTAAGTTCCATTTCCATTGATCCTTTTGCTTAGAACTACAAACGAATGCATCAATACCATTAAATCATCTCACTTCCCTTTTTCAGCCCATGGAACATGATGTAAAAAAAGGCTACCGATCTACAAAAATAATACAGTCACTGGCCAAACAATTGTGTATTCCTTAAGCCCAAAAGTCCTATGAAACCTTTCTTTTAGCAAAGCATCTTCCAACTAGCGGTCATCCAAAAACTGTGTCCATTGCCCATTGCCGACTTTAAGGTTATATAACTCTATAAAATCTAGCCCACGACTACAAGCACATCACACCATCTTAAAAACTTCCTCCATGGACCATAAATGGCTTTTATAGTTTCGAACCAAAATGAATTTCATCTTATAAAAATCTCCGCACCCATTTGAACAATAAAGAACGATCGAAAGATACCAAACTTTCAACACCTAGAGCCTTTTCTCTCTAAAGCCTCCACCGAAAAAACGAATTTTCAACATAGCCTTAGAAATCGACTCATGTACTTTGAACAAAGACGTATACTAGATGTCTAAAGAACCCACACGAAACATGCATACACAAAGTAAATCTTTCTCCAACTGAAATTGGTTTAACTTACCACATAAAGAGCTAATATATGAACTTGTTGAAGAATGGTGCCCATAGCCACAAGAAGTCGGTAATATTATTGTAAATAACAGTGTATTTTTTTGGCTACACCTAAGAACAAATATAAGCATAATTGGAAAATGACTTAATTATAAGGATTCGTTTGTTAATTAATTAATAGTTTAATTATTTAAATGAAACTAGGAGATTTTGGAATATTCCAGATAAATGATTTAAATATCAGGATCGAAGTTAGAGATAATTATTTTGAGCCATGATATTTATTTGTTATGGTTTAAACCATTGCCCTATAAATAGAGAGGTGATGCAAGAGTTAGAGAAATAAGTCAAAACCCTATAGAATTTGACGGTGCTCTCAAAGATCCACAAAAACCCTAATTGAAGTCCACATTCTACGTAACTCATGCTAGGCGTTGCGTAGAGCCGATCTAGATTCAGATTGTGTGCTGAGTTTTGGTGTGCTACTAGTTGAGGTGTGTTCGTAGCTACTGTTTGCTTCTTGGGTTCGATCACAAGAGAGGGATTCTAGGTTAAATCCTCTATGTCCGATCAACTAGTGAAATCAAAGAAGTCAAAGACTCCAAGTTTATGTGTTCTTGTAACATCCCAGAAATCACAGGATAAAAATTTCGTTTTTAATATAATCAAAACACTTGTTTATCCTTTATTCAAACATTTAGAAGTATTTCAAAATAAAAACATTAATCAGAGTACAATCCCAAAATCTCAAAGCTTGCGGAAAATATAGGTGTATGCGCTGCGATCAAGCCGAACCCTTCCATTTCGAACTGGAAGTACCTGAAACCATAAACAACAACTGTAAGCACAAAGCTTAGTGAGTTTCCCAAATACCACATACAGAACAACATACTGCCAAGCATATCTGGGTGTCTGGCCTACCCCTTCGGCGTGTTTTAACCGGATACCGCCGAACATATCTGGGTGCTGGCCTCCCCTTCGATCTATTTCAACCAGATACTGCCGAGCATATTTGGGTGCTGGCCTCCCCTTCGGTCTATTTCAACCAGATAACAGGTCTATTTCACCCCTACCACTACCACATAATATGATAAGCAATTAGTCTCAAAAACATCAACAATTACTGGCATACCAGAAAATTATCACAAAGACAATCATCTTACTATAAACATCAACTAGTGGGCCGACATTGGTGCCTTCGACCCACAGATACAGTGAAGGTAACTCACCTCAACAGCTGAACCCAATAATAAATATCTGACCGCTGATCCGCTAGAATCCCCGCACTATCAAACAAATAAAACCCCAATTAACAATTAGGTTCCAAACCAATATCCAATAATCCATATATGGTGTAAAAATACCACTTTACCCCTTACCTAGTTTGGTCCAAGACTAAGGCCCAAACTCCCCATCATAAAGGCCCACAAACCAAAAGTCATCCAAAGCCCACTTATGGCCCAATTTTCCAAATTGGGCCTAACCCTTACATGGGCCTTACCCAGAAGCCCAATAACTTATTCCTAATCCAAAACACATATTCACAGTTGGTCCTACAAACCCCAAGAAATTCAAGCCTAAACGATAGCCCAAATCCGAAATGACACCACAAGGCCCAATAAGGCCCAAATATCCTAATTAGGCCCAAATCAATCATGAACCTATCCCAAGAAGGCCCAATATCCAAAAAGGCCCAACAGATCCAATGGTCTTCCCTAGTCCACTTCTGGTCAAAGGTCAAATGCCCAAAAAGTCAAAAAAACAAAAATAGTCCAGCAGGTCGAGTACACCCCGCGTACTCAGCTGGTACGCTCAGCGTACACCCTTTGGGACAGTACGCGTAGCGTACCAGATGGGTACACCCAACATACTCCCTTGAACCCCAATCTCTTCCATTAAGCACTTAATCACTTAAGCCTTTGCTCCAAACTCTCAGATCTGATTCCCATAGATGACTTCTTACGTAAAGTTGGCAACTTTACTTGCATACATGGCTTAGTGGGACTCTAGAGCTCAAAAGAGCTTAATGAAAGGTCTTAACACATGCATGAGTCCAAATAAACCATAAAGATCACATTTTTATCCCTTTGGGACACTTATAACGTCCAGATCCTCAAGATCAAACCTCTGAAACAACCATAGCTCACAAGAACCACCAAAAGAGGATAAAATGACCATAAATAAACCCAAAAGAAGATCTATGAAATGAGTAGGCAAGATCAAAGATTTTTACCTTCAATGGATTGCAAAAGATGGAAAAGTTCTGCATCTACAAGCTCCCCTCCAGGAAATGAGTATTCAAATTTCTTATTCTCTTAGACAAATCACCATAAACACTCTTCCAAGCTCTAAAACTCACTCAAGGCACCCTAGGGTTTCAATGTATGCAAAAAGGGGTGGAGGCTGACTTAAAATACCCAAAGGAAGGTTATAATGATGCTTATATAAGGTAAGGACCCCAAAATTAGGGTTTGGCTCTGAAGGGAGTACGCCCCGCGTACCCCTTAGTACGCCCGACGTACTTAAAGACTACCTGCGAGCAAGCCACCCTGTACGCCCCACGTACACATCTAGTACGCCCCGCGTACTAGATGACCCTCTCAAATCTTAAACTTCAGTCAGCCCTAACTCCTTCGCTCTAAGTCCGTTTCCAACGAACTTTATATCCACGGAAAGGTGATGAGAAGCCCTACAATTCTAATAACTCACCATTTCCTAAAACTTCCCAAACAAGAACCCAAAATTCATAAAGACCCGAACTAACAAATTACGATTATACCCTTGGGTTCAGAAACGTCATCGAACACTCGGAT